TCTTCCCCATTGAACCAAATCCTTTGAGCTCGTGTTCTTCCCCCATTGTTGACCTTCCCCGAGCTTGCTATCTCTCAATCCCTCCATGGATTCTTGCTAGTTTTGGGGGGAAAAGAGAGAGGAGATCTAGATCCACGTTTCCACCAATCACTTTCTCCTCTAAGTGAGGAGAACCCCTTGGATCTAGATCTTGGAGTTCTTCGTGTTCTTCTTTCGTTCTTCCTCTCATTTTCCTCCCTAGCTCCGTGTGCCCTTGCAATTGCATTTGGTGCATCGGTTTGAGTTCTCCTCGGTGATACATGGAAGTGAAGTTTGAGAAGCTTATTACTCTTGGGTGTTTGGGCACCCTAGAGCTTGTTCCTTTTGGGTGCCTTGGCGCTCTAGACGGTTGGTGGTGTTCGGAGCTCAATCATTGTGGTGTAAAGCTCCGGGCAAGCGTCGGGGTCTCCAATTAGGTTGTGGAGATCGTCCCGAGCAATTTGACGGGTTCCGGTGACCGCCCCCAAAGGTTGCCAAAGTGTACGGGTTCGGTGACGGCCCCCAAGGGTTGCCATTTGTACGGGTTCGGTGACCGCCCTCAAGGGTCCCTTAGTGGAATCGCGGCATCTTGCATTGTGCGAGGGCGTGAGGAGATTACGGTGGCCCTAGTGGCTTCTTGGGGAGCATTGTGCCTCCACACCGCTCCAAATAGAGATTAGCATCCACAAGGGTGTGAACTTCGGGATACATCGTCGTCTCCGCGTGCCTCGGTTATCTCTTATCTGAGCCCTTTACTTATGCACTTTACTTGGTGATAGCCATTTTGTTCTTTGTCATATATCTTGCTATCTCATAGTTCCTTATCTTGCTTAGCATAAGTTGTTGGTGCACATAGGTGAGCCTAGTTGTTTTAGGTTTTATGCTTGATAAATTAACCGCTAGGTTTATTCCGCATTTGTTCAAGCCTAAACCGTAATTATTTTAAAGCGCCTATTCACCCCCCCCCCTCTAGGCGACATCAACGATGTTTCACAAGCCATTTAGTTTATATACATTATCCAGGTACACTTGAGCTACTGTCAGGGCAGTGAATGGATGAGCCAGAGGAATGAAATGGCCGTATTTACCGAACTTGTCGATAACCACCAGAATAGTGTCATAAGACTTGCTTTTGGGAAGCCCGGAGATGAAATCCATGCTCACCATGTTCCAAGCTTCTTTAGGCACAGTTAAGGGACTAAGAAGCCCAGGTTTCTTGATGTGCTTAGACTTGGCTTGCTGACAAATCGTATACTTTCTCACAAAGTCCTGGATGTGTTGTTTCATGGCAGGCCAAGAAAACAATGCCTTAATTCTTTGGTAAGTGGCCTAAAACCCAGAGTGCCCACCCACTCCACTTGCATGTAACGAGAGCATAATAACCTGATGGGCCTCCTTATTGCCGCCCAGCCACACTCTATCATGATGCTTGATGATACCTTGCACCAATTGGAACCCTTTGTCATTGGAACCAGTGAGACTAAGCTCAGATAATAATTCCTTGGCCTGTGGGTCTTGCAAGTATCCTTCACCTACAGTTTCCAACCATTGCGGAGTGCCAAAATTCATAGAATGAAGAGTAGCAGACTCTGGCACTATGGATAAGGAATCTGCTGCAGTATTCTCCTTCCCTTTCTTGTACACTACAGTATATGTAAAGCCCATGAGCTTAAGTAGTGCTTTCTGTTGCATGGAATTGCTCACCTTCTGTTCAGTCAAGTGCAAAAAACTCTTATGATCAGTGCTGATAATGAAAGGAGCATGATGCAAATAAGATTGCCACTTATCAACTGCCAAAATAACAGCCAAACACTCTTTTCATAAGTGGACAGGGCCTGAGCCTGTGGACCTAAGGCTTTACTGAGATAGGCAATAGGGTGACCAGATTGCATGAGTACTGCTCCAATGCCCACATTACTGAAGGGAATATGCCCTAGAGGCAATAATAAAGTTATTATTTATTTCCTTATTTCATGATAAATGTTTATTATTCATGCTAGAATTGTATTAACTGGAAACTTGATACATGTGTGAATACATAGACAAACATACACTAGTATGCCTCTACTTGACTAGCTCGTTGAATCAAAGATGGTTAAGTTTCCTAGCCATAGACATGAGTTGTCATTTGATTAACAAGATCACATCATTAGAGAATGATGTGATTGACTTGACCCAATCCGTTAGCTTAGCACTTGATCGTTTAGTATGTTGCTATTGCTTTCTTCATGACTTATACATGTTCCTATGACTATGAGATTATGCAACTCCCGTTTACTGGAGGAACACTTTGTGTGCTATCAAACGTCACAACGTAACTGGGTGATTATAAAGGTGCTCTACAGGTGTCTTCGAAGGTACTTGTTGAGTTGGTGTATTTCAAGATTAGGATTTGTCACTCCGATTATTGGAGTGGTATCTCTGGGCCCTCTCGGTAATGCACATCACTATAAGCCTTGCAAGCAATGTGACTAATGAGTTAGTTGCGGGATGATGCATTACATAACGAGTAAAGAGACTTGTCGGTAATGAGATTAAACTAGGTATTGAGATACCGACGATCAAATCTCGGGCAAGTAACATACCGATGACAAAGGGAACAACGTATGTTGTTATGCGGTTTGACCGATAAAGATCTTCGTAGAATATGTGGGAGCCAATATGAGCATCCAGGTTCCGCTATTGGTTATTGACCGGAGACGAGTCTCGGTCATGTCTACATAGTTTTCGAAACCGTAGGGTCCGCACGCTTAAAGTTCTGTGACGATTTGTATTATGAGTTTATGTGTTTTGATGCACCGAAGGTAGTTCGGAGTCCCGAATAAGATCGGGGACATGACGAGGAGTCTCGAAATGGTCGAGACGTAAAGATCGATATATTGGACGACTATATTCGGACATCAGAAAGGTTCCAAATGATCGAGCTGCCATCTGTTACTGTCGAGACCGTTGCCTCCAACGCGCCACCGGAGCTATCCAAAATTTAAGAAAACAAAACCTGTGTCCTCATCCTCTTCTGAGAGTCTTCTCCCACGCAGCAGCCACAGGCATACAAATACTAACACCACAGGCACAACCACACATACGATTGGCATGCACCAATCTACCCACCAGACTCACTAGTCAAGCACTCGAGCATAACAGGTTAGCAATCCTCAGCTTCCTTTCGTACTACTCCGGTCGTTCTATGTCACTCCAAGCGTTCGTTACCATTGACCGGTTCTCTTGTATTGCAATTTGCAAGTAGGCAATGAAAGCGGGGGGAGCAACCGCCAGCGTCCAAGTCGTTCCGACCGACGCCTTCGTCGCCATGGCTTACAACACCGGCTGAGTCAGGGTGTTCGTCGACTCCAACAAGAAGGTCACGAAAGCTCCCAGGATTGGCTAGCTAGCTGCGCTCTCATGCTTACGTTTGTAAGGATAAATCCGGACGTAATTCTGTCTAGCTGTACCATGTAAGCGTGTGTACTGATGTATTAGGAAGATGCTCCAGTGCGCCTAGATCTGATTAGAGAAGATACAAAACGAGAACAGGTTGGGGAATAGTAAATTAATGAAATACCGATACATGCAAGAAAATTTAGTGCAAACGTAGATTACGACCATATCACTAACAGATTGGTGTCACTCTTCTGTTACTAAAAACAACTCACAGCGACATAGTTCCAGCCATGCTTTTTTTTTCACTACAAATATTTGTCCGAGACAAAGTGACATACTGACACTGTTCAGGAGTGTTTCATGATGCTGCCAGCATATTGCTCTGTAAATAGAAACAGTAAACGTATCTTTCACCACGCACACAAAAATAGTTCGAGTCTGAAGATTGGTCAGGTTGGTTACTTCAGGTAGTCAGCGTTACAAAAACAAACAAATAAATAAATGTGAGAATAAAAAACCTGAGAAAAGATTGGTCAGATCATGTAAACTGGGTTGAGTCATGCTGCTGGCGTGGAGAAGGTGCAGACCAGTGATGTGGACCCACAATGTAACGGTGCCTGCGCCCCTTGTGTCCGTGCACAACATTAGTACTCATATAACGAGTCACCTGAGAAAAGCCCTCTGCAAACCTCTGCAAAGATGTTCCTCCAGCACAATGTTACTACACCATATGTTCGATGTCTGTGCGTGAAAAGGTCGATGAGATTCTCTTCGAGTTAGAGATTCACAGCTTGCTCAAACGTTTAGAGGCGGCTAGCCCTGGATCTGGCAAGGCGATTGTGGAAGAGGCTATCAGAAACCAAAGAAAGAAGAGTGGTGCCACAGGAAAGGCGTCCACAGCTGCTTGATGCTTGATGGCAGTCTTTTGATTGTCCTTATTGTGTGGCTTGTCTCGGTGGTCTTGGCTGAGATTCTCTCGTTGGATGGTTCTTTGCGATGTTGTTGTGTGGGGGTTGGTAGTCGTTATGTGTTGGGTTGTCGGGCTGATCATGCACTTATGGGGTTGCTTGTTCTGTGAGTAGTCCTCGGGTGGTAGGTTTGTATTGGTTTTTGCCCGGTTTTCCAGTAATTAACCAGGCAACTCTCTTCTGCTTAATTAATCGATGAGGCAAATCTTTTGCCTCCGTTTCGAAAAAAAAAACTCCACTAAAAGAATTCCGACATAATGACATGGCCATAATTCATGCCAATAGTGTGACAAGTCATATAGCAACAACAAGGATCAATCAGGTAGCAATGAACCATATTAGCAAGAACACTGCACTGCAATAGAACATATACCAACAAGGATCAATCAGGTAGCATGAAAGGATATGAAAAAAAAAGACTAGTAACAAACATAGACAGCATAGCATGGATAAGCAACAAGTCAAACACATTAGTAAATTTAGCAGTTCAAGTCGAACACATCACTGAAGGATCCCCTACTACTGACACTACATGTGTATCGGAATTCTTCCATTCATCCGTGGCAAATGGACTTTACAGATGCACAAGAAGAAACCTCCACCACAACCAACAACAGAAAATGATTTCACATATTAAGCAACCACTGCTTGGTTTATCATTCCCTGCGCCCACGATGCAGCCTCCCTGACTTCTTCGTCCGAATCAAGGCACTCCCTAAAGAATTCGACATGGAACAGGTGGTTCCTGAACAGATCTTTTGATATTGGGCCAAGTGTATCTGCAAGATCACCAAGGACTGCAACTGCAGCCTTTGTCACACTCTCATCCCTGAAAGCAGATATATGCATATACTGCTAAGAAACGGAACAGTCACTCATATAACTAAAAGAAATGGCAATGAAAATGATGTGCACCTGCTCCCATCCTTGTAGACAGCTTCAGTGAACTGCAATAGGTGGGTTGCATAAGGTACCATCAGCTGAGCTTTTGGACCTTTTATACCCTGTAATATGCCAGAGTAAGCCTCAAATATTCCCCGTCTGAGCTGATTACCATAGTGAACCATATCATCGTCACTTTGATCTAAAACTACAACAAGCTCAGCAGCTCCTTGAAGCATTGGCATGGCATATGGCAGGTATTTCTCAAAATTCTCGCCAATAGCAAGAGCAATATCTCCAAAGCATGAGAAAATGGGAGGTTTGACAGACCGGTTGAGCATTGGATTTGAAAGATCCTTGAGGAGAACAGTCATAATTCCATCACAGAATGGCAACACTTTATCTTCTAGTGTACGGCAAATGTCACCCACCACTCCAACAGAAATGGAGCATACTTGGTATTCTTCATGATTCTGCAAGCCTGCTTCAAGGTACTTGAAAAACTCCGGCATGTATTTTACAAAATCTGGACCGATAGCATCCGCAAGAACACCAATAGCAAGCATTGCTTCTTCATGTACAGTAGAACCGTGGCAAGCAAAGACACGAAGAAACAGAAACATCAACTGGTCAGCATTCTGGGTGATAATGGACTCCGCATCTGAGTTGCTCAGTTTCGGGAGGATGACCTGCAGTACACCGCACAGCAAAGCCTGCAGGTCACTCTGGTTCTCCTTGTCGCCTGATGAAAATACTTCGAGATCAAATGTCAAGTTCAATCTTCTCATGACCTCCTGCAATAACTGGCCTATAATGCTTGAAGTTTCATCTATGTTGCTGACTCTCACAATCTCATTCAATGCTTCATAAGCAGATGAACGAAGCCTAAAATGGGTCGCGCCAACACAGTCCGTAGCAGAAAGGAGAGCGGTGATGACACTAGGAAGATAAGGTGTAAGCACAGAGGAGATTGAATCTGCTGCATTTTCATAACCTTGGGCAAGAAAGTATATAGCTCCACAGACTTTCTCAGCCACATTTGGAACATCCTTACTACTCTCCAGCAACACTGTCATGATACGCGTAAGGTTTCCACTTGTTACAATCGGATTGACACTGGTTGGAGAATTCAAAAATTCAAACACACGCCCAAGAGTCCATGCAGTGGTGTCTTTTACCTGGCTGTTGGGATCTTTCATTGCATTGAGCAAGAAATCAAGTCCGGCATGTACCAGTGGAGCAAGTTTCGGAAGAGAAGGACCGTCAAGGATAGAACCAAATGCAAAAGTAGCTGCCTCACGACAATGCCAATCTGGATTTGTGATGTTAGCCTCAACAAATGGCATGACAAGAGGGACAATCGCATCACCAACAGCTTTAGCGATGAGTCTAAGGCACGTCCCACCACTCATGGAAATGTTCCACACATTATCATCTTGCTCTTGATCTTCCTCCTGCTTCAACAGAGTTTCGAGCAGCATTGGAGCAAGTGAAGGGAGTGCCTTTTCTATAAAGCGAAAATTTGCACTAGAGTCGGCATCGTCATATCCCTCATATTCTTCTTGGAGTTGAATCTCTTCATCACAAATTGTGCTCCAGAACTCAATAGCTTGAAGTGCAACTGATTCCTCATCTCCTTTGACAGTGTTGGACGTCAGGTTAAATACGGTTTGCATATAAGGTTCCAAGTGCATATAATATATGGATGCAATTGCAACAAGGCATTCAAAAGCTGCCTGTCTGATCTCCACTTCATTAGATACAGCAGTCTCACAAATTACCTTCATTATATAGTTCCTCTCCATATCATTTGCAAAGTTGCTATCAGCAAAATAAAGAGCGTTATATAGAGCTTTAACTGCTGCAAGACGGACTTCAACACTTAGCTCTGCCTGGTTCATTCCCTGGACCACAGCAGTCAGAACAGCATTGACTTGATCCTGCTCCAAGTGCTCAGGAGAAATCTCCTCACAGACATACCCCAATGCCTCTAGAGTTGCTTGCTTCAGTGGCGCAGATGCACCGTGCTGCGTCATGTTTCCCAATAACTTGGCAATGAGGTCTTGCCATTCACAACGGGGCATCTCAATGGAGGCGACCTTTGCAATAACCTGCGATGAGACCTGCCTTGCATCAGGCACCGAAGATCCTAGCGTTAGCAGCAACGATTCCTTGATCCTCGATTTGATCGACAGGTCCAGGCTGACCCATTGCTGACCAAGTAGCTCCTTCCTTGAACAATCCTTGGCATCCAACGAATTCTTAAGGATAATGCCAGCAAGTCTTCTAGACTCTGGCGGCCTTTCGTCATTCGAGAGCTCCACTGATAAGGAAAGCAGGAACCTGGGAAGATTCTGCTCCTGAAACAGCTTAAGGCTGCTTTCTGCTACCGACCGAAGGTTACCGTCCGGAGATTGCGCGGCTAGGAGAATCTGAGTGATATCCATGGCTGTATCAACTGTCCTAACAAACATCAAACAAACAGATTTTAACATTCTCAGAAAAAAAGAATTACATACGAACTAAATTAAACTAAAATTGGCACCCATCAACACTCCCCGGTAGCAGCTGGTAGTTTTAGGTTTTAGCACACACAAGACATGTGAACCCCCAGTTCCTCCGCCTCTTATTATTTTGGAAGCTACAGTATAGTAGTCCACAGCCTTTGCATTTTACCCAACTGACGAAATTTAGGTCGTCTGCTTCAGTCAAACAGTCCTTAAGGGCCAGTTTGACCAGGCCTATCACTAGTCTCCAAGCGGGTGCATCCTGATTAAGCTTTCTTCTCTTATCGAGCTACTGGAAAACATTATAACTGGTAGGTTTTGCTACACAACCAAAATTCCAAAATCTCTGACGTTTTCTGAAAAAAAAAATCGATTTTCACAAGAATGCTCGATGCCTGACAGATTGAGTAAGCAATGGAGATGGAATGGAACTTAGAGAGAAGCGGATATTCGGCGATAGGTGCCTTACTGTGTTGTGTGTGGCGAGTCTCTTTGGGGGCTGTGGCGGGGGCTTCACCGCTCCCCGGCAGCTCGCGCGCTCGCTCTTCAGCGACCGTGTGCCGCCTGTCCCGGTATCCTGCAGGTCGCCGCCGCCTTCCCGGCACCTTCCCTCGCCGGCGCCGATTACCGCCTGGCGGCCGGGAGCTGCCGCTCCGCCGGGTCGGGTCGGGTCGGGTGGTGTAGCGGTTAGGGTTTGGGGATTTTGGGCGCGCGGTTTACTTTGGAGCTCGGTTTGGTTCAACGAGCAGGAGGGGACGGCACGGGGAGACGGGAGGGGGCGGCGGTCGGCTGGGCTCTCGGCTGTGGTTTCGCCTGTGGGCCGTGGACAACAACTGGCGCAACCGAAGGACTGGCTCGTCAGATGGGCCAAACCATCCCGGCTCATCTAACCCGTCAGGCTAAAACGCAACGCTTTTTTTTTACGGTCCAAACCTCCTTTATTCATGGGAGCTCCTAGTCAGAGCTCCTGTTGGACACTGTAGTGAAATCATTAATTGAGGAGTACTTCTTACAAAGATTATTTCTACCTCTTCAAATTGCGATAAGCGACGCGCTGCATGTTACTACTTGTGAGCTGCATTGGGTTTCGTCGTAGAGGAGGGAATTATGCAGGACAGTAGAGATAAGTATTTCCTTCAGTTATCAATCCAGTAAAAAAATCAAGCAACAACTCGTTAACAACACTTGTACACAAGATAACAAATCCTTGCACCAAACGTAAACATGAGGTTGTCAATCCCTTGGCAGTTTATTGCAAAATCAAATTGTATGGTGATAAATAGATAGATAAATAAAGTAAAATTACAGTAAGATATTTTTAGGATTTTTAATATATGATAGAAGTGGACCCGGGGGCAATAGTTTCGCTAGAGGCTTTTTTTTTTGAAAATAATATACGGTGGGTAAACAAATTATCATTGGGCAATTGATAAAAAAACAAATAATCATGACGATATTGAAGGCAATGATCATGTATATAGGCATCACGTCCGAGACAAGTAGATCGATTCCTGTCTGCATCTAGTACTATCCACACATCGATCGCTATCCAGCATGCATCTAGAGTATTATGTTCATAAAGAACGGAGTAACACCTTAAGCAAGATGACATGATGTGGACAAAGTAAACTCACGCATGAATAAACCCCATCTTTTTACCCTTAATAGCAACGATACATACGTATCATGCCCCCTACTGTCACTGAGATTGAATACCGCAAGATCGAACGCATCACAAAGCACCTCTCCCATTACAAGATAAATCAATTCAGTTGGTCAAACCAAATCAATAGATCAGAGAGAAATACGAAGCTAGAACAATCATGAATAAAAGAGTTCAGAGAAAACTTAAATAATATTCATGGATAATTTGATAATAAACTCACAATTCATCGGATCCCGATAAACACACCGCAAAAAGTGATTACATCGGATAGAATTCCAAAAACATCAAGGAGAACATTGTATTGAATATCAAACAGAGAGAAGAAGTCATCTAGATACTAACTATGGACCCGTAGATCTGTGGTAAACTACTCATGCATCATCGGAACGGCAACAAGGTTGATGTAGAGCCCCTCCGTGATTGATTACCCTTTTGGCGGAGTACCGAAAAAAGTCCCCAGATGGCATCTCTCGAGAACAAAGGCGTGCGGTGGTGAAAAAAGTATTTCGTGGACTCCTCTGTTGGTTCCCTGATTTTAGAGAATTTATAGAGGCG